CAATCACAACCGCTGTCCATTTTGAACGGAGCTTCACTGCTTCCTATTTGCTCCTGTGGCTCCAAAAAGAAATAACCTGCTTTTAGCTAATTGGATCATAGATGTCCAGTCATTATTTTCTGTTTAATCAGCTTACGCCTTGGCGGAGGTGCTCTTGTTTTGATTATAACTTTAGAATCATTTGAAAATGATATATTTGATACACTCCCTGTCCAGCATATCCGTGAGCCAAATTGCTTTGTAAAACACAACCCAGGCCGGCCCATTACCGAAATGCATTACTGCCTTATGTCATGTTTATTTGGATTTTTATTTGGGTTTATTTGGATGTGAGGGCGGAGAACCCGATAGAGCCGTATTTTAAGACCAGCTGTGAGCACAAACAGTGCTTACAGCTGTCCGCTGTTGATTGGATAGCATGCTTCAAACGGGGCTGATTTGCTGCATGATTGCTGCATGATTGCGGTTTATGTTTTTCCGTTCGCCTCTGACTTTTATTTGTACAGGCCCCGTTATCGCAAGGCTTCGCTCGTAGCCGCTGTGGAAACTCCCGTTGTCAAGCCGGCATGTTAGATGGGTTGGCCTAAGCCCTGGGCCAACGGCTCCCTCAAACAAATACCGGCCCCGCCTTAGCTGCGTGGAGATGGACGGATGCGCGTGTGGAAATAATCTGAGGAGAAGAGAAAGCCAATGTGACAGATCGTTATTAAGAGTTCTTATCAGTATAGATCATTGACTCTCGTTGCGACCTGCTCCAACCCCTCCGCCTGACGAAAATCTGATAATTACACTTCATTAGAGGAGCAGGTAGTGATGAGGCTTAGAGTGAGAGAAGCAATTTAGGATGATACAGGGCTTTGTTTGAAAAGATGGTTGGATTTTAATTATGGAGGAACTGATGAGTTGGCTACGGTGACCATATCTTTGTATGGCCTCCAGCAAGTTATCAAGAACAGTGTGAGAGATGTCAGCCAATGACGATGATACCATTTTTACATTCGGAGATCAGGCAAGAAGGTTGGACCGAAAGAGAAACACAAAGTTACTCGGATACAGAAGCAACCAGTCATTGGTGCTCCCTGTGACAATGAACCCTTTCATGCACCCTGTAACCAACATGATAACCTGTCCACTGTAGTAACCGCTTTCCCTGAAATGGTTAAAGGGACAGTGTGTGGAATTTTTTGTTGATTTTTCAATGTTCTATCACATCAACATTTTTTTAATGTCATTTTATGTCTCGTAATCACCAATAATATTATATGGGTCGTGCCTCACCTTACAGGAGTCTGACATGTTTCACCGCCATCTTTCTGCTACCTATACCCGAAGGAGACAAATTTAGCGAGCGGGCTTATCTGGATCAGCGACTACATGTGTAATAAATGCAATGTACTTACTTTGTCACTTGAGGGAACACGAGAAGTCGTTTGTGATGACATTTTGCTTGCACCTCTAAGAGGAAACTGTGGTCGGCTTGCGAAGTGTGGTCTCTCTGTGGCACCATAATGCACGAGCTTCACAATGCATGCGCTTCGGATTTAGGTTGTTGCATTCGATTAGTCCAGCACGACGTCACAAGTGCATTTTATACACTGGAACTTTATCATGAGTGATGATAGAAAATAAGGCTTCAAATTTGCTTCATGAACCATTTGTATTTTTTGACTCTCCTGGATGGCACGGTTGGTTTACATAAAGCGGTTGAAGAAATGGCAAGTCATTGCGCTTTCAGCCCAGTGTTGAACAGAGAGTGCCATCTAGAGGAGTAAAAAAAAAAAATACAACTGTTTCAGGAAGCAAATTTGAAGCTTCATTTTCCCTAGTTACTATGTGCAGCAGCCAATTACTCCTTAAACAATAAGATTCGATTCTATTTTAGAAGGCGAAAACAAAAGACCAGAGCTAGGTACCAGGTGACGAGCAATAACGACAAAGATGGGTTACTAGGTGACAAACTGACAAATTCTGTGATTTATTCTACATGTTGACCGACCCATGAACCGTTTGGTTTTAAAATCCCAGACAGAGCGTTTTTCAAGTCCCACAAAGAAAGCAACACGCAAACTCTGTCATCGTGTGTTCATGCATGGATGTGGGTACATTTATTCAAGCTGCTGGCTCCGTTTTTATTGCCTTGGTGTTGTGTCACATTTGTGTCAAAAACTCAATGTAATAATGCTCCGAGGTGCGCACAAATTCTAGTTGTTTGACAAGCCCACCGCCCACACCTATGGCCCCTACGAATGTTCAGTAGCGTTGATGGTGCATGAAAAAAAAAAAGTCATAAAAAAAAGAATGCTGCAGTCCCGGATGTTGCAGTATAATTCACAAGCGAAGCCATTCTGTAAACACGTGCGTATAAAAGCCTGCCTCGAAGTTGCAGCTTGTTTAGGGGTGGCCGAGCACAATCGTTCGAAAAGGTGTGATGTCCCAGAGGTGTCGGCAGAATCCCGCGCGTTGGTTTGTGTGTGCTTGCACGAGAGGGGGAGAGAGAGAGATGGTGACTGCGGTGTGCCTCCAGTGGGGAGGCATTGATTTGGAGCCCAGCATGGGGATGGGGGAAATGTCAGCCTCTAATTGAGTTGATAAAACCATTCATATCAAAATATCTACAGTACACACGACACAAACACACGCACAAAAGGGTTCCACTTCGACAAACCCCAGTGGGAGGTCTCTGGAGGTCTGTGTGTGTGTGTATGTGTGTACAATGCCTAAACTTACCCAATTTGAAGTTTGACCAGTCCCACACACTGAATGTTTATGAGGTTTGTCTGCATACATCATTTATAAGCAGTCAAGAGTGCAAAGGCGGTAGTCTCACCAAGCGGCAAAATTGTTTAGGGGAGGCCTCACTTGCCAACGTGAGTTTCATACGCAGTGTTCCATATTATTGGGGTCCTTTTTCTTTTTTCACAAATTATATTTAAAAACTGTTTAATCATGTCAGGAATGTCAGATTGACTTACAATATGATTTTAGCGAGATATTTCGGGAATAATATTGCACTATCGTATTTTGGTGCTTTGGTTTATTTTACAGCCAATCAGTGTTGCCGTCATGGCCAACTTTCCATTGATTTTTTTTTTTTGTTTATTTTTGGTACCTTTTTAGAAACTAAATCAACAGCAATTTTTTGAATAGCCGCAGATTAAAATCTGCTGTTTATCCTGCTCTCAACTGTGTTAATAACAGTTTGGATTGAACACACGTGCTCCTGCTTGTAAGCACACTGGATGGGTCCTGCTCTCATTATTAGCAGCGATAATTAGCCCACGTTTCACACATTGTGCCACAATGATGCGTTCTGTTCCGATCACATTCTCACGTAACCACTTTTTTTTTTTTTTTTTTTTTTTTTGTGGCCAAGCCCACTGGTAATTAGCAGCCGTAATTAGGCAGACAACTATTCATATAGGGAATGCATGCATGTGTGACTTCCCCGCTAATTAAGAGTATTAATTACAATCGTAGCTGTTCCTTTGAGACAGCGCATCGCTCCCAGTTGGCGTTCTTATGGCTTTATCTCAGCCCACCATCACCACCACCAACAACAACTCACTCTCTTACACCTTCATGTACTCCAAATATGCCGTACACCTGCGGCACTTGACATGCCGGTACAAGACTGATAGTGGCCCATAAGGAAGCTTGACTGTTGGGAGGGATTTGCATAGCAATGTGCTTCCCATTTCTTAATGCAACTGGTAATATCCAGTCAGTTCGACCATACAATGTGCGAGTGAAGCCAAAGCTAATTTCTATCCGAATGGGTATTTGAATACATTTTCATGATTGACTAATTGGTCAGTTTCCCCATTTGAGGGGGCGGGGGGGGATGCTTCTATATAAGGTATTTTAATGTCAACCATGTTCAGCAACTTTCGGTTCCGGTTAAGACGAACTAGAGTCATAAATAATTGTATCCGGGGGTCGTGTAAAAAATAGAGGTGTGTACCCAGAGGAGCTTCAGCACAAATATCTCTTCATAGGAAAGTTAAGGAATGTTGCGTTTTTTTCTTTATAAGTGTATTCCTGGTTAAATATCTTGCCTTGCACTTTTTTTTTTTTTGGGTGTGCCGTTGTGCATCCTCAGCACATAGAAGAGTCTGACATCATTTATGGAGCGTTTTACAGGCCGCTCCCAGATGCAACGCGAGAAAAGACGAGTTGAGAACACCCGTCGCGCCCAGGCGACATTTGTCGTCCGCGAAGTCTGCAACATGTTGATACAGTGTGGACCAGGCAGAAAGGCGCCAATGTACTGGTGGTTCAAAGCTTAAACTCAGGTAACCAATCACTACCGAGGGGCCGGACCGGGGGTGCGGTATGCAAATGTCGGGGGCAGTGTTTTCCTTGTATGTTACAATAAAAGTCGGAATTGGCGGGAAGGGAGCTCGAGAGTGTGATCATCGGAGCAACTACCGTCGTTCGCTCTCAGAGATCCCCCTCCCGCCGATATTGAAGACAATTTTCCTGTGTGCCGAGTCATTTCTTTAACTTTGTCCGAGAAAATCTCTGACAATATTGCAGGAGGTTTTGCCTGCTGAGGCCAACATGGCACACATGCTCAGAATACACAACAAAAGCACGGGAGGGAGAGTGTTTCCCACAAAATGCAAATTAGACTCGGTTGGCGAGAATGGAACATACTCACGCTGTTGACACTACAACACCCATAATGCACTGCGCTAGATCCTTAATTAGCTCTCCGGGCCTTGAATCTTGATTGGTGCATTCCGAAGCTTGGTTGTAGTGTAGGCTATACTCAACTGCGGTTTCACCTGTTGAAAAGTGTCCAATGAATTTGCAGAATGTTCATTTTTAGTGGGTGGTACAACAATACAGTAGTTCATTGGACTATCATCGGAAGGCTGAAAAGTGAAAAATAGGTCAGACAGGATGTTGCGTCCGTAGAAGGGAATTCCCTCGTCCTGTCGCGTCGAAAGCAAATGTCAGCAAGTACTGATGAAGGTTTCTCTCTGGTTTGTTTACAGTGGACGGCTGCACAGACTGGTCAGTGGACTACCTGAAGTACCAGGTGCTGCAGGGCGAGCCGGTGCGGCTAAAGTGCGCCCTGTTTTATGGCTACATCCGTGCCAACTACACCCAGGCTCAGAGCGTCGGCCTCAGCCTCATGTGGTACCGCAGCTCGGGCCTGGGCCACAGCGACTTCGAGGAGCCCATCTCCTTCGACGGCGTGCGCATGAGCAAGGAGGAGGACGCCATCTGGTTCAGACCCGCCGACCTTCAGGACGTCGGACTCTACTCCTGCGTCTTACGGTAAGATGGCGGAAATATGTGGATAATGGTTTTTGAACGAGGACAGAAGCTTAAGCAGGCACTGTCAGCTGGGATAGGCTCCATTTCCCCTGTAACTCTAATGAGGATACGTGGAATAGAAAATGGAAGGATGGATGGAGTGAAAGCATCTAAATTAATGAAGTTTGCATGTTCTCCGCGGGCCTGCGCGGGTTTTCTCCGGGTATTCCGGTTTCCTCCCACATTCCAAAAACACGCATGGCAGGCTGATTGAACACTCTAAATTGTCCCTAGGTGTGAGTCTGAGCATGGATGGTTGTTCGTCTCTGTGTGTGCCCTGCGATTGTCTGTCAACCGGTTCAGGGTGTCCCCCACCTACTGCCCGATGACGGCTGGGATAGGCTCCAGCACCCCCCGCGACCCTTGCGCGGATAAAGCGGATCGGAAAATGAATGAATGAATATTCCAGACTCTGAATCATGTCAACGATCGATGTGGCAGATTAAAAAGAACAAAGCGGCCTATGTGTGGCCCACGGGCCATATTTTGCTCACCACTGCCATAACTTCGGGTTCTTGCTCCGCCAAGAAGAAAAAGTCATGACAGGTTTCGAATCACACCCGGTTAACTTCAAAAAACCCTTCACACGATGTACCTAATGGTGTGGCAGTTTAATGTACAAAGCAGGCGCTCACGTTATCGGTAGTTTCTGTTGCCACGGAGGTGCGTAATAAAATTAAGACGCACATTGGTGTCACGGTAACTTATTAACCTTTCTGCCAGATAACATCCTTCAATAATTGGCTCATTGCAGCTCTTCATTTCGCAGAGTTTTTAATAAATTGGGTTAAAGGCCTCTCAAGGAGCCAGAGAGGCTTGAAGTGCGCTAAGTGTGCTTGTATGACAGTGAATATGTGATTGAAGCCCCCGCAGTTTTTGGCAACAAATTGGTGTTTTTTGTCTTTTTTTTTTAAACATCTGACTGCAGAATGTTGTTTTTAAAAGTTAGAATTCCGAGCACATGGTAAGTCTGGTGTAAGAAAGCGCCCGGGGGTTACTTAATGTGCTTTGGAGCCGCTGGGATTTTTTTTTTGGTCTTCTCGGATGGCACAATGTGAGAGATTTTCCTCTGAGCTGAAATCGATCGTCTTTTTTGTCGGAGTGTAAGCCTTTGAGTCACACTTGTGACCTGAGCATCTCCACTCGAATGCTCCTGTCTATTGCGTACCTCCATGCAGCCTTTTATCAACCGCAAAACCGAGGTGGGTGGACTTCGCGTGTCAGGAGCGATATCGTGTAAAACTTAATCAACAAATTATCTACTTGCCCGGAGCTCTTTTATGCAAACACATTTTTCAGAAATAGGCTAATAAAAGATGTATTTGGTTGTTTAAGTGTGGCCCGGTGGTCCAGTGGTTAGAGTGTTGATCTCACAGTGCAGAGGTTGTGGGTTCGATCCCGGCTCCGGCCTTCCTGCGTGGGTTTTCTCCGGGTACTCCGGGTTTCCTCCCACATTCCAAAAATATGCATGGCAGGCTGTTTGAACATTCAAAATTGTCCCTCGGTGTGAGTGTGAGCTCGGATGGTTGTTCATCTCTGTGTGCCCTGCGATTGGCTGGCAACCGGTTCAGGGTGTCCCCCGCCTACTGCCCGAAGATAGGATAAAGCAGATCGAAAAATGGATGGAATAGAAGTTCCAGATATTCCATCATTTGTAGACACAGTTGAAAAGTCAATTGCAATAGATGTCCCCTGCACTGTTGACACAAGGTGTGAGGTGGCTCGTGTATGTACCCCAAGGACGTAATGCCTTTGTCTTTTGGCTTTAGTTTTGATGCTCACTGAACCAAGGTCTCAGTGCAATTTACTGACATTGCCTTTTTCCTCATTTTCTGGGGGCACATTTTTCATGAGGACTTTGTCAAACTCCCCAATTATACCAATTTCATCGTGTTCCACTCTGGATGCTCCGCTGTGTACTGTTTTGTCCCACAGCTGCAACGTATTTTGATACCTGCGTGACCGTTATGAATGGTTAAAGGGGGGCAAATTGTGGAAATGAGTCTCCGGAGTGGCTGCCCGCCCATCAACTGTGAAATTACACAACCAAGTACATTTTTATGAGCCGAAAATGTGTCTGGGAGCAAAAGTCTTTCCTCCAGCATTTCCTTTCCACTCATGAATCGGCTGCTACTTGAGCGTGCAACCGCTCTTTTCGTACGTAGCCGCTATCATGCCGCCGCCAACGGCAAAGAAGAGCTGCCGTGTTGTTGGACGCGCAGATTGGTGTTGTCAGCGTTAGCTTCAGATAAGCGGCACCCAAGTACTCTATATCACATTCAAAGCTAGCAATTACAAGCATAGCCGCCACAAATGTCATATATGTGCCAAAACTCGAGAAGAAGCACATAGTGATATGATAAATAAGTATTTACGAAACTCCTCTTGTATCTGTGACTCGCCTACTAGCAGAAGTCTCCTCTTGCTCTGTGTTCGACTCCAGGTGAAACATATCGGGGTTTTTTTTTTTTTGGTTTTTTTGTTTGTTTGTTTTTTTTGCTGCACAAATGTCTTTTTTTTTTTTTTTTTTTTTTTTGTTTTTTTTTTTTAATTGGCTGACAACCAGTTTAGGGAGTACCCCGCCTACCGCCCGAAGAAAGTTGGGACAGGCTCGGTTGATGGATAGTTAGAACATGATGTAATTTGTTGAGGTACATGTTAAATATCACGATAATATTGATATTCAACATGCATAGCGTAAATTATGTTTGACTTAGTCTGACCTCTTGGGCAGCATTACAACGTATTCTTACGCCGCAGCGGAAACGAGTTGATTGCGCGCCATTCGTAATGTCAAAGCACCGTATGGTGGGACCGCTGTCAGCCGAGGAACCCCGTGAAATGATTTTAAAGTTCAAACAAATTACAGATTAGAAATTGAGCAAATTGTTGACCAGCTGTAAAGGCAACTGATTCTCTTTGTTTCTTCGGCACTTCCCTCCCCCCTTCCCTCACCTCTCCGATGAGATGCAACACTGATTAGGATCAGACAATCAGTCAACCTCACACACACACACACACACACACACACACACACACAAACAACAACACTCCCACGTATTTTTTCATAATAATCCCAGTATTGAATCTGTCAAGAGAAGTGGTGTAATCCATGTGTCTCTGCCATCGCGCATGTGATAATTAACGTGTGGAGAATCACATCACACCTTATTCAACTCCTGCAGATGTATCAAGTGGGACATTGACAACACGTTCACCAGTAAATTGACCTCTGGCTGTCCATCAATGCGGCGACCTTGCACACGCACCCTTCCGCAATGACACTTTGTGTGTGTGTGTGTGTGTGTGTGTGTGTGTGTGTGTGTGTGCGCGTGCGTGCGTGCGTGCGTGCGTGCGTGCGTGCGGATGTTTACAATATACATCCGTCTGCTCCCAGTGGGCCTCAATGGCTCAGCTGTGTTATTTCTGCTCATATTTGCTTTGCTTAACCAGGCAGGCGATTGCCTACATATGCAAATATATGTTAACAATGCATGATTTTAAATATCCTTCAAGTGGACAGGACTGGCCTGAAGTGTTCCCTCATTCTACTCAAGCTACCTGAAAGGCCATTGCTCATCGCCTCTTTTTGCTTCCGGCAGCATTTTCCATTTGCACCTTTTGTCGTCCGCTTTGTGATGTAGAGCAGGACTTTGGACTTAACTGGTCAACGGCAATTCTTTCAGACAAATTCTGGAAAATTGTAAGGATACATGCGTGCATGTGTGTTTTATAGCTTCATGGTGTGGGGGGCAAACGTGTTTAAATGAAAGAGGTGACTCCCTTATTGCTTCCATAACCTGAGTAGATCATATATATTACCGTATTTTTTGGATTATACGTCGCTCCGGATTATAAATCGCACCAGCCAGAAAATGCCACCAAAAACAGACATGTCATCTTGAAAGGCAATTTAAAATAAAAATAAAATAGAGAACAACAGTCTGAATAAGTGTACGGTATACTAACATTACATGACTGACATGCCTGGTAATGTCAGTTACGATTTAACATATTAAGAGTTATTCAGATAACGAGCATAAAAAACATGCTAACAAGTTTACCAAACTATCAGTTTCACTCCAAATCGCTAAATCCAATGAAATCTTCATCCTCTGTGTCACTTTTAAACAACTCCCCCAACTCGGGAGGTAGACGATGCGTCGCTTCCTCTTCTACGTCGCTTACGTCAGACTCATCGTCGATTTATCAGCACAGGCCGTGAGCGCCCCCTTGTGCTTCAATGTGAAAATAACATGTGAAATGACATAATCATGTGTTAATAATTTCACACATACTGTAAGTCACTCCAGAGTATAAGTCGCACCCCCGGCCAAACTATGAAAAAAACGGTGACTTATAGTCCGGAAAATACGGTACTTGCTTGCTGTCAAGTTGAGGTGGTGAATTCCTCTTTGGCTCAGATTACTTGCCAAATGTAAGAACTGAATCTCTAGTTAGATATAAACTGGAGGTGACAAAACCAAATCTAATGAAGGGCTGGCATTGTGGGAAAAAAAAGTTTTTGGTTTTATACCCGTGCTGACATTTTAGACTCACACAAGGCGAGGTGTGTTTGTGCTTCCTCGACCGGCGAATTTTTGCGACGCGGCGCAATAAGCATTGCGCGCCGCCACATTACTGCTTGACCTTATTAATGCTTTGGCGAATGAATGGCAGCAAATCCCTGCAGCCAGGTTGTTATGGCAACCGTTGGTGACCTTGTGCTTTGTTTGCGTGTCGATATATTTTGGGGGCCGAGTGTCGTTGATGTAGCGGACACAGGTTGTTTTGTAATGGCTCAGATAATGACGATGATCATTATGAATGCGGTATTAAAATAGTGTGGAGTGAGAGACGGCGGGCGAGGTTGAGGGGGACCTCCTCCAGCTCAAATTCATCACAGCATAAGTGTGTTGATGGTTGCTAGGAAACGAGGAAGCGGGGGCAGGGTCGACTCGTCCACTCCTGTCCTTCCTGGTGGGAGGCCCGAGGGTTTGTCTGTTTGCTTTTTAGCATTGCCAGGCTCCGGCTGACAACCCCCCCCCCCCACACCCCCCACTCCTCCATAAATCCTATATTGGTCGTAGGTATGAATTCTTGACTCATTAAAGATGCTGGAATACGTAGTTACTGCGAAACCCACAAATGTGGTGAAACAGTGGGGAGTGGCCAAGGAGAGGATGAAAATTACTGGAAGAACATTACAGGAGAGAGCGCTCAGGAGAGCACTGACCCCCGTTAAGGCGGTCCTCAAGTGTACCTGCGCGGTGATGTAACCAGAATTTGGATATGAATCATAGAATGCAGTAAATATTTGTGAGAAAAAAAAAATCAACCAAAAACATACCAGAGCATGATAACCACTGAAGGAGAAATAGAACCTATTAAAACATGGGAAAAGTCATTATAAGCTGACATAAAATGCTAATTCGAATAGAATTGTGCCCAAAGCCCAATGACCAATTATTCACATGAAATGAACAGAAAAAACTTTTTTTTTTTTAACCTACGTGGTAATGTTTTCCTGTACAGTTAAGTAAAAGTTTCATGATGGCAACGGGTTCAGCTTGGAAAGAATTTAATAAATCCAGGCAATTTCCAACGGGAAAATGGGTTTTGAAATTATAATAACTTGGAAGTCGAGCATCATCCGGCAGTAGATATTTGGTTCCACGGTAACAATATTGAACATGGCCTCAGAGTCAATTTCATTGCCCCACAGCAGTGAAATGTGCTTTGAAGTGTAGGATGACAGTAAGAACAATAATGCATGACTGTACACGACTGATCTATGATTCAAGATGACACTTGAGTAAAGAGATTTGCATCTCAGATTCTTTTGATATGAGGAGTTGGATCGTCGTCCTATTCCGGGCTTCTTCTCTCAATGGACTCGTCTTTCGTGATGACTGTCAATTGTGCATCGTGTCGATTTGAGTGATTAGTTTGGTCGGTCCTGTGATTGGCAGGTGATCTGTTCAGGGCTTGCCACCACTTTCTGTCTTCATTCAGCTGGGAAGCACTCAGTCATAATCTTGAACCTCGAAGAGTACAATGTGTTCCGAAAATCAAGATGTACTAAAGCAAGATATACTTCAGAACGCTCGATGTGTAACCGAGGGTCTTTATTTGTCCCTCCGCAGGAATTCTACTTATTGCATGAAGGTTTCCATGTCGTTAATCGTCGCAGAGAACGACACCAACAAGTGCTACAACTCCAACATGCGACGGATGGAGAAGGCTGAGCTCAGCAAGAGCAAAGACATTGTGTGCCCTGACATTGACGACTACATTGAGTCCGGCAAAGAACCGGACATTACCTGGTACAAGGTAAGCTCGGCTAACATTTGAAAGGCCATAGAATGGCAACTTTACTTTTTAATGGCTTGTTTACAAATAGTCTCTGAAGTGCCTGCCCACATACCAAGTGTGGAATCAACCAGCCTTGCAAATCTTTTGTAATCTGCCTATTTTTAATGACGTGGTGGGTAACGGGGGAGCTAATTGACATAATAAGCACCCCCCACGCTGGGTTTGTCCAACCATGACAGGATCAGATCAACCCACATTCCCTACGGGTGCAATGCCATACTATCACGTCAAACATACAGGGTAAGCAGAGCTGCAATGGGTTTAGTTGGATGCACAGATTAGCATTAGCTAACCTGATTGGCTTTTGATAAGCAGTACACACTAAATACACACAAAGAGCAGTAGTGGTAGGGCCATATTTATGGATTGACACAATGCAGTGTATGACTGCACACTCTGTGCTATGCTCTCTCGAGTACAATCCACCGAAGCCCAAGGCGTACGGTTCACCCAGGTCATCATTATATAACAACAACCATATTTGTTTATTGGCTCGGCAATATAAGGGCTGCTACATACAGTCGCTTGCTTGCCTGAGACAGAGACGGTCCCTAAAAACAGGCTACATTGAGTGAATCAAGAAATATCGGGTGCATAATGTCCTATAATAACTGATCCTTTGTGTATTTCGGGCGAAGAAAGTACGTCAAAGACGTTATTACCACGCTCGGGACCTTTTCGAAGTTGTTAAAAATATGCATAAAATATCTCACCTAAGGCCAATCCAGCAGTGCGGTGCGAGAAACATGGAAAAGGATTCGGTTTATACTCTTGAGAAACATTTCGAAAAGATTAATTGGTTTGTTTTCATCAAATTTGTCTCTGATAATGTTATTCAAATTGACTTTCCAGATCAGTTAAGCAGATTATGACTGGATGCAAATCACTGCGATGTATCATGTACTGTGTCACGGTGCGTTTCGAAGGGAGTAAGAGATGGAAAGAACACAAAGGCGGGGGAAATGATGCCATGTTATCCACTGCCCTGTGGAACAAATGGGCGTCCCTACAAGGAAGTGCCAGCTTGCTCCTTTCCCGGGTTCTCGCCTCTCCCTGGTTTGGCAATGCTTGCGGACAGCGCAGAGCACCCTCGGTGAAGGGTTCAGGCCAGACTAATCACAGGCAGATCAGCAGTAGATTAGGTGGACAGCCACAACCTCTAGGTTTTTCCAGAATTCAATTACCTTCCAGGTAATGACAGTGAGCGCTGGAAACTGGAGTTATTTGGACCACTGCGGGGCCACCGTGATTGAATTCGAAGAATGCCGGGAGCAACGGAGAAATGGAATCCACAGAGCCATCGTTGTCCTGGCATGAGTGCCTAAGATCTTGTCTCTGTCCCACGTAAATGTCGACACATGCACAGACAAAGCACACAAAAAGCATTCGTGGTCCTTTGCCACTCGCATTGCTCTTAAAGGATAGTTAAGCCTTTATTAACATTTGAGTTTTGTTTTGTTTTTTTCTGTCCCCATCCATCCATCTCCATTTACTAACCCACGTATCCTCATACAGATCGCGGACATGCTGGAGCCTATCCCAGCTATCTTCGGGCAGTAGGCGGGGGGGAACACCCTGAACTGGTTTCCAGCCAATCAGAGCCTATTCCCCATGAGTTATGCAATCCCCATGAATTATGTTCAATGAAATTTCAGGAGGAACCTAGAATGCGCTAGAACTGTTACAGTTGAACTTATTTTGCCATAAACATTTAAATGCACATCTCCAATTGCGGGCCAGTGGTCGACTGGTTAGCGCCTCACAGTGCAAAGGTGCAGGGTTCGATTCCGGCCTTCCTGTGTGGGGTTTGCATATTCTCCCCGTGCCTGTGTGGGTTTTCTGCGGGTACTACGGTTTCCTCCTACATTCTAAAAACACACGTGGCAGGTTAATGGAACACTCGAAATTGTCCCTAAGCGTTAGTCTGGATGGTTGTTCGTCTACGTGTGCCACGCGATTGGCTAGCAACCAGTTGAGGATGTCCCCTTCCTACTGCCCGAAGACAGCGGATAGGCTCCAGCACGCCCGTGACGCTCATGAGGATAAGCGGATTAGAAAATGGATGGATCTCCAATTGTTCAATATTTCTGTATATTTTGCACAACTTCCTCAAAATGAGCTGACCGGCACAATCCACAACAGGTGTTCCATCCATGAAGGGAATTTCATTCAGTAGCAGCTGTTTTCAGACCCTTTTTTTTTCTTAACCCTAAAAGACATCTAAATATGTCTCAGGAAGTGAATGATTGTGAGTTGATAATCATGTTGTTAATGTTTCGACCAAGCTGACTGGATCAAGAATATCTCACCGTTGCAATGCTTCAAACAGATTCTTAGAGTTAAGTGGCCACTTGTCTCAGAGTGCCACTGGGTGTCATCAGCAGTTTATACCAGAAATACAGAGAAAGGAGAAGCGTCACAGAAAGCCGTATGAGTAGTCACCCTAAAAAATGTTCAGGGATTAAACACCGCTTGTGAATTTTGTCTCCACCGTGTGATGTCCTTAGCTGAAGCCCTCAGTGGAACCAGATTATGCTGTAATTCGCAGGAATGTCATCCGAAGCAGTGGCGTGCCAGCATCATCCAGAAGAAAGACATTCTGTCTTTCCAGGAGGTGAAGGAAGACGACATTGGAAATTACACCTGCGAGGTCCAGTTTGCCGGCTTTATGGTCAGGAGGACGACAGAACTCGCCGTGACCGGTAAGAGATGCCCGGAGTTACGAAAAGGCGCGTCTGGAGTCGGAGGCTTGGGGAAGTGTGGCTAATGTTGGATGAATCAGCGTCAGTCGTTTGCGCTGGAGGTGTATTTGAGGCAATGAATTGATGGCAAACACACAACATGCACACCGCTGAGCACTGCTGCAATATCCCGCTGCTGCGCTAATTGCTTCGGGAGGCTGGGGCCCGGCCCGCTACCACGTTTCTGCTTCCTTTTCCACCTCAGCGCTTTCCAGTCAGTCTATTGGCAGTCAAATACTGTACTTAAGGTACTAGGTTAAACACACACACTCAAGCACGCGCATGAGGAGAGCTCCAAGAGCAAAGGCCAAGTTGAGGGGATTCATTGTGCCCTCGATCTGCTATAGTGCCGTCGGTCTCTTTCCTCTGGTCTAAATTTCATATCCTTGATTGTCACCTTCGCATTGGAGTTCATGCAACACTATTTGTTCATTTGTGGGATTATTTTTAATGCATGTGGCCTTTTTAATGTGCCAGAAAAAAAAAACACATTTTTTTTCTAAATAATGGAATACTATAATAAAATAAGACTCCAGTGAAACTCCTCTACAACGAAACCCACATGGGCGAAAATACCCCCTAGTGTAAAAAAAAATGTTCATGCATGAAAGCCATTCCCACATTTCTGCTCCCCCTACAATGAAAAGTCCCCCTGTTCCGTGATACGAAGTATTTTTCTCTGCTCTTGCCTTGCAATGAGGTTCATGACAACGAAAACAAGCCTTTCGCAAAAGTCTAATCCAAATTGATGTCAGTGAAAGTAAATGCTGATCGTAAATTTCGCAATTTCTTTCCCTTTCGCTGGCTATATGAAGTGTCAAATAAGTGTATGCTCATACTTATGCACTATTGGAATAATAATAAAAAGTACACATATACGTTTTTTGTGTGTGTTCGTGTTTACGTCTGAGAGGAAATTTGCTACAGTGAAAAGGTCCCCTGTTGTGAAAATTTTCTTGCTGCAAACATGATTTCGTTGTAGAGGAGTTTCACTGTATTGAGAAAATGTACTGGGGAAAAAAATAGTCTGGTCAATGTAATTATCGGTAAATGAATCAATATCGCATCAGTAAAATAGTTAAGATATCAACAATATCCCTACTCAGAAAAATTTTAAGCTTTTGTAATGCATTCTAAATTTTACAGTTGAACTATCTTCAACCCTCTGTAAACCTTTGAATGCACATACGCCAACTGCTCAGTGTTTCAATACTTTTTGCACAACCGGCTGTCGCGTAACAAGGAGCTGGACTGCAAATTTGCCGTTCACATTTCCACATCATGAGACAGAGGCAACACTTTTGCGATTGATCATCAGTCCGCTTCCATCGTGAGGCTTCAAACGGGATGTTCTCAGAGGGGAGTGAGCCGAGAGAGTCATCAACGTGTTGCTACAGATCGGCTGGCAGAGTTTTTCTTTTTTTTTTAAACCCTTTCAGGGGCAGCGGTTACTACAGTGGACAGTTTATCATGTTATCAAGTTACACGAGAGGGTTAATCCCCCGCGTACTTCAAGGATAAAGAATCCAGCGTTCACGTCACCAAGCCAACTCTTTGTTGCTTGTCTGTGTAATGAACATGCTTGTTTCCCCGAGGGCCTTGAGTGAGCCTGACGTCCGCGTTCGTTCATCACTGATGGCTATCATAAAATCTTTATTCAGCTATAAATATACTCCATCATTCAATTTAATGATACTGTACAAGACCCTCGAAGGAGGTCAGAGAAAAGATGAAGCCGTTTTCTTTTCATTCAAGACGCCGGTCTATTGGAGAAAATCATGCAAAAGTTCAACCCCATATTTCACTACATAAGAATATTAGGCCCTGCTCCATTGGAAACATGCATCTATGTTCCCCTGGTCTCTTTTATTCTATTAAAAGCAACAAATTATCCAGAACCCAACCATTGAATTCAACCGCCCGTTGTTTTTAATATCCTATCCCCTCGTTTCATGCATCACGCCTCTGTGGCCGTATGCACACCTAGAAGCGCACGAGATAAGTAATAAGTCATCAAATTAGGGGAGGTAATTACATGTGACACCCTTGTGCTTGAATGCAGCACCAGGTTGATGTGGGGATCCCATTATTGCTTCTTTTCTCGCAGCACAAGGAATAATTACCACTGAAGTATGCATCCCTGACAAAACCAACTCAGTGACTCACTCTGAGTTATTAATTATTCAGCATGTTGAAAACCATTGTTTGCATGGGGTCTTTTTTTTTTCCTTTCTCACGAAAATACTATTGTTTTTTCGACAATAGAATGGAACATCGAGGGTCAATCCCGCTGCAGTGGGATTTTCGGACTTTCCGCCCCCACCACAAAGGAAAAAAATGGAAATACTGAAAAAATAATCTGTTACGTGGTCAAACAGCATAAATGCTACACTGAATGTTCTTTTTGCGGGAGAGGGGGAAAAAAAATTCCAAAATGTGGAGTCAAACAGTTGTTGGACAGAAATGAAGACATAAAAACAATAAAAGTAATAATTTTTAACATCACTAATCAATAACCAACTCCTAAATATAAAGAGAAATCAACCACTGTAAAACAAATTAAACTGTCACAATTAACTCACTCATCTGAATCAATTTAAGAATGACAAAGGCGTATTAGGAAGATAACAATTCAAATGTCTAACTTTTAACGTCCTTTTGTTGAGGCTTATGGGTCCTCTCCACTTCACCCCCCCCCCAAAAAAAAGCCAAAGAAAAATGAAACAAGAGTGATTTTATATGCCTATGCTCTCTAAACTAAGAGCTTGTGAGCTAAATTGACATCTCATGTGACGTCACTCATGAGAGCGTTTCTAACTCTGGAAATTGTTTGGCCTCTTTTTCACAACTTGAACTTTAGAAGCGTCCCGCACATCCTAAACACACGGACGTCTTTCGACCAATTACTGCACATCCCACCAAAAATCACTTCGAATATCAATCAATTCTGCATATTTCATCCTACACTCTTAATAACCAACCTCGCCCAAACAATAAAGTCCAAATAACGTCAGAGGAGTTAGGGCTACTCTTTCCGATATCCCGACAGGATGAAGCAGCTTGTTAAGTTTAAGTGATCTTAAATAGAGAGTCAGGGACGCTTGTCTTTGCCTTAACCCCCTGCCTCAGTGTGACGACGATGCGTAACGGCCCCAACATTAGAAGCGGTAGCGCAGCCATCATCTGAGCCCAGGTCAGGCTTGTAATCGAGGTTAACTACGGGTAGAGACACAGGCTCATTCAGATCAGGCAGATCCGCGAGACCCTTAATCAAGCGCCCGTGCTCCTCGGGTTAATGGAAATGTAAAAGAAACGGAGTCGCCTTTGACTTGTTTAACGTTGTCTCATTTCACGTCTTCTTATCGCACGTTGCGAACTGTGCTAATGGAGTGCATCGATAATTCTGCGGAACCTATACATCGTAACGCCCTTGTGTAAACTGACCACAACACTCCGGAAAATTGCGCTCACAAGCCACAGGAAGCCACCGATGGGAATGTTAGCCTCTTTTAGTCAGTCAACACCTCAATTCAATGAGTATCTAAAGCGGGGAATGTGTAGAGATTTTCCCCTATGTACAGAAATGTAGGAAACATTCTAAAACCAGGGCGAAAAAATACGTTAAATCCGTAAATGTACTGAGGGAAAAAATGGTACAATTGACATCTCAGATTGGTGTTAACCAGCAAAACAGCAATATTACATTTATTTTTGTTTTATTATTTGTGAAGTAAAAAGTTGTGTGATATTTATTGTATCTATATTGCACTTAATTGAACTTATTGACCTTATCCATATTTGTATTTATATTGCACTTAATTGAACTGTGTTTTCTTTTCTCTTCTTTCTACCCACAATCTTGCTGCTGAAGGCTGTAAATTTCCCCAGTGTGGGACAAATAAAGGATATCTTATCTTATTTATTTTTTTGTTAAATAAAAACAAAAGTGGCCACAAAGGGCCACCGTGCTGGACTTTAAGACACACATGATCTAGATTTGCTCTTCCTCAGGTGTTGGCTATCGGATACCAGTGTAGAAGAAAAATGAGACTTGAAACAACCATAGAATTTGCGAATCCGACTATGCTAGTAAGACTTCAGGTCAGTGAGCATCGAAACCCAAATGTGCACAAAAGTATTTCATAACAAAAAAAAGAAAATTATTTTAATAGATTGATGATCTAATTTGCCCATTTCTTCATGTCAATGTCACTTTGTCTATTGTGTCAAGATTGTTGTTTGTGTCTTTGCCACTTGCCAAAGTTTCTCGATTCTAGTTCAACTTTCAAGCACTTAGCACATTAGCGCAAATTGCTAGCATAGCTGGTTACCGTGATACGGAGAAAACAAACACGATACAAACTCCAAAATGGCGGACTAGCAAATGCTGATCACGTGATGGGAAAAAAAAAAATATATATATATATATATATATATATATATATATCCTGTATACGCAAGCGAATCAACGGTTCGATGGGCTGCGGTTCTTCTTGAGCTCAGTCCTCCGCAGCGTCACCAATACTACAATTCTGCTAACATCTAATTAAAACAAAAAAAAAAAAAAAAAAAACAAAAAAAAAAAAACTACATGCACTCTGCTGATGTATGCGGCTCCCCCCTGCGTTGTGTTGGGCTGAAAATATTATAGAGAGCGAGCGAGGGAAGGATAAAGAGAACTAGTGACTGATAACCCAAAAGTAGAGGAGCGATAGAAAGGCGGGAAAAAAGAGGAAACGTTTGGTGATCCTGTATCTTATCGCTATTCCACGCCAGTGTTTTGCGGCAGAAAGCGTGTGTTCAAGACTATAAACACACTATTATCCTAGTGTTTATCACAGTGCACATTATCGTTTGCCTCCGTCGGACTTACTGTAATGGAGTCGTTTGGTTTGATGGATGCCTCAGGCGCCCCGTTCTATCCGAGCTCCTCGCTCCCTCCTCCACTCCATTCCGCTTTC